TTCCTTCTTGCTCTGCCTGGCACTCTTGAACCACGCAACCCTGAGGTTTATGTCAAAATCAACTGAACTGCTTGGAATGCTTGATGGTCTAGAAAGTGTTTATCAACAGTCCATAAGTCAAAACACACTTGATGATTTTTTTGTTTGTTTTAAATATTAAGATTTACTCTCTTCTTTTCTTCACTGACCTGACCAACTAATCTTGGCATTTCTGTTTTAACAATGTGACTTAAGATAAGCCTCAAACTCCTTCCTCAATACAAAAATGTGGCTTATTACTGTCAAATGTGCTGGGAAGCAAATCTAACCAAACTTTCAACCTCAAGTTTGAATACATAATTTTAAAGTAAAAAAAAAATAGCATATTTCAGACTATTATGGTTTAGCCTCCAAATTGTAACTTGGACCAGTCATTTTCCTTTGTACTGTATCTATTTTTTAACTTAAAACATAGCCTTCTCTTTACCACAAGTCTAATCCCTTTTTATACTAGAGGGCTGAGGTTATATTTATGGGCTACATAACAGAAATGTCTTATAGAAGAGGAACTTTCAGAACTTTCTTTAGTATTTGTCCCAAGTTCTTTTCTTTCTTTTACCATGATGCTTTATTCCCTATAATCCAGCACATTCCTTGTTATTCCTCTAAGAGTCCAGTCATCATGGAACAAAGCCTGTTAGCACCAAGCACTTTTTTATATGCCCCTTGAGCGAGCCTGCTTCTGTATAGAACTCACAGGTGGGCTGGGGAGAGAAGGGAGTACTTAGATCCATTGGGCCTTATTTCTCCCAGTCTGTATTGAGGAGAACAGGCAGGCAAGGAACATTGGGAACTTGACCTAGTCACGAATCTGCCTCATCCAATCAAGCTCTTTCTTCAATAACCACTTTTCTGTAGTTGAGCGTCAGCCATTGATACCATGGTGTGCAGTATTCACACAAGATGATCCTTTTGCCTGGACAAAAGGGAGAAGTGCTTGTGGGCGAAGGAGAGAAAGGAAGAAAATTTTGAGAGGCAAGGTACCTTAAGGAGAACAGAAAACCTCGGTACACTTTGGAGGCTCGTGGGAGCCAGAAAAAAGCAAAGGCGGTTTGGGCTGTGGCAACTGAAGATGATACCAAAAGTCAAACACGACATGCAGCTTTTTGAGGAGCGTCCATGAGCGGTTCAAACCGCATCCTGGTCTAAGCTGGACAGCTGCCCGCGTAGTCCATAGTTACCGCCCGGCACTGGAAGGCCCAGCTGCTTAGGAGTCGCATCCCATCCCCCACCACTTCTGCGTATTTTACCCTCTCAAGGAAGTGCTTGGTGTTCTCGGTCTGTAATAAACTGGTGTTCGCACAGGAGTATCAGCTCACAGACTGGCGAATATAAACGAGATAATCCACAGGACAACTTTTAGGGCGCAGCCTGGGGCGCAGAGTAAGCGCTCTCTGTCTGTATCAGCTCCCAGCGGGACCCACGGGACACCACACGCAAGTGCTAGTGCATGAAGACCTGGTTCCATGTGGAAACACTCCCATGGTTAAGGTCACTTCCGATGGAAATGAGTAAAGTCGATTCCTTTTTCCCCCCACCTACTCACTTTATTCTCGTCTACAGTTCAAAAGCATCTCTACATCAAAACATTTTCTCTCCTTTGAAATCTAATGAATCCTTTGAGGTGCCCATGTTGGACATTTATCCCCAAGCGTGCACGAACAGATTTGCAGTATATAATTTGGATGCCTTTAACATTTGCTCACAAATTTCTCTTCCTTTTTTTTTTTTTCCTTCTTCTCTCCTCCCTTTTCCTGTCCTGTCTATATACAGGATGAACACATGACTCCAGTGAGTTATTTCTCTCAGTATAGGGTAGGATTCTCAGCTGATGGTATCATAAGGAATGGTGGCCTACTGTAAGTTGCACCCAATTTAATAAAAACGATTTTCCCATGTATTGATTCCATGTGGTGCTGACAGGCATCAGGCATTTTCCTGTTCACCGGTTAGTAGACATGCTGACTTGGTAATAATCTAAATGGCAATGACAGCATTTTGGAATCCTAGTTTATTCTTATTAGAGAGAAAACAAGTTTCTTTTTGTACTCTGCAGTTTCACAACCACCTCTCCCACTTCCTCTTTTACTCCAGCTTTTTCCTGCTGTTGCTTTCTCTAGTGCTCTTGGCAGGTTCTGAGAATGCCCAGCATTTGAGGGGAAACAGCCGAGATTATTTTTAAAAGTACAGTAGGAAGCTGCCTGAAGTCAGCTCTTCCAGGCCTGGATGACTTTTTCGAAAGCAGCAATTCGGTGCTGGGTGAGAGCAGGCACCCATTCTGCCTGGCTCCCCTCTCCCTGGCTGGCTGTGGAACCACCAGCAGTGGCGCTCCAATGAATTTATATTAAAAATTTCTGCAGGATGAAAAGAAGACTTGAATTTTATCTATTATGTACTTTATTATGTCAACATACCTTCTCTCTCCATTTCAATAAATATTGCATAAATATTTATCTAGAAACTAGCCTGGTGACTACCCAGAGAAATGTCAACTTCTTTGTTGCAAACTTTTGAAACACTAGGGGAAAATTTGAAGGCTGTTTTTGGGCAGAACGAAAACTAGTGTATTCTTTAATGCTTGCGCATGTGGTTTAGTTTATTTAACCATCACCACAATCCTAAGAGGCAGATACTATTATTATCCCTGTTTTATAGATGAATGAAACAAACATACTGAAAAGTGAAAAACTTATTCTTAAGGTGTACACAGGCCAGTATGTAGCAGAGCTGGGGGTTTTATAGCACAGTATGGCTTTAGAATCTACCTCTTAATTTGCTGATCTCTTAGGGAGGGAGGGAGGGAGGGAGGGAGGGAGGGGAAGAATGTGAGAACATTAAAGGTAGGTACCACCTTCTTTAATCCTGTGTGTACTACTATTCATGATAAAGCTTTTTCAGATCCCAGAGTTTGTGTTCAGAGCATGTGAGAAAATCCGGGGACACTGAATTTAATTTGGGAACTTAAATTATGCTTCAAAGCAGATATAAAAATAGTTCAGAACACTCAGAAAACCCTGGGAAAATAAAAGTCACAATAATGGAAAAAATAGAACAGAGCACATATCCTTTCTATATTCCAGTCTTTTCTTTCCTATTGAATTATAAAAAATGTATAGGGGAGATGGGTTAGCCTGGAGAAAATCATTCTAGTCCTATTTTCCTTCCCCCGAGTCCTGGCCCTCTCCCCCTCTAAGCAGTGACAATTCACTGAATTGAAGCTTTGTTTATTTCATGGGCCTGGAGCCAAGAAGTTAATTAAAAATATAAGCAGGTTCAATGCAATATGGTATCCAAGATAGGATCGTGCAATAGATATAGGATATTAGTGAAAAATAGCGAACTCTGTATAAAGTCTGGAGTTTAGTAATACTATTAGTATTAATTATTTTGGCAATTATACCATAGTAATGTAAGATGCTAAGGCTGGCTCCCCCATTATCCGGAATCATTTTGCTTTATCTCTTTTTAGTAGCATTAATATCAGATTTTCTTTTTAATGTGATCATAATATTAAATGAGGACAGAATTGCCATGTACCATGTCCCCACACATGGTTGGGGTCATAGACTTGGTTGACACTCCTCTAGCCAATGTAAATGTTCAGCATTCACCCCATTCTTCCAAAAAAGGAGAAGTAAAGGACAGTCTGTGTTTACAGACGCTGAGGAATGCTAAGCTTCTTTGTAATATCAATTCAGAAAAACATTCATGGTTTGGTTACCACTGAGATTTTGATTGTTTGATGCCCTGAGGAGAACCACATTCTCAAATGAGTTTCTGCACTGTCTTCTTGTAAGTTTGTCTTCTGGAGGCATTTTACAGATTTATGCACTGACATATAAAAACCTGTATAATCATAAAAATGGTAATGCTGCAAAGGGAAGTGATACTCATATTTGGAGTTATTGTTTATATATCCCTTTACCTTGAGATAATTAGCAAATATTACTTGTGCTGATTATCCTTATAAATAACTGATGTATTAATATTGTAATGATCTATTCCATTTGAACACATAATATTTATAATATTCATACCCATTTCTAACATTCCTGTATGCAGCAACAAAATCTTTTACATGATTATGATAATGTCCTACCTGGTTTTCTATTAATAATAGCAGTTTTTGAAGAATTGATCATAGATACATGATTCTCTAAGTACTGCTACTATTCATGTATCTGTAAAACATTCTTTGAAACAGTTACTAGAAAACATGTGTTCATAGGTACATGAATAGTAGCAGTACTTAGAGAAAAAAATTAATAAAAATATTATTTCTTTTCTACTTTATCGGTTTACGTATATTATAACCATGCACAAAAGACCACATATTGCATAATTTCATTTATGTGAAATGTCCACATATATTTATACATGTATGTGCAACATACAAAAGAGATTTGAGGCTACTTAAAATCGAAGTTCAGGGATAATAATAAGAGATCCAAACAAACATGAAAAGGTTAAAGCACATACTAGGAAATAATGGATGAACAGTGGAGAAAATTAGACCAGTCTTCTGCCATCTTCCCTGTTAAAAAAGAAAACTTAGCATGGAGATAGAATGTTTGCCAATATATAATTTTTAATTATAAGTATTTATACAATGTGTGAATCTAAACAAATGTAATTTCGCTGTTGATTAAATTTGGAATGTTCCCAAGCATTCTGAGAATGTCATTCTATAAGGTATTCCCTTAGTGAAATAATAGTGTAGACTTCCACTTGACTAAGATGTTATAAATGACATGACCTGGAAATGCACGAGACCCAGAGTGAGATACAGCTGCTCTTATTCTGGCATTTATTTTCCTGACATGTTTTCAGTGGTCAGAACATGTTTGCTGTGTAAAACATTTTTTCAAAATATCAATGTATTTTTTTATTTATCACATTTTCCTTATATATATATACTACTAAGAAAAAACTTACACGATTGTCCTATTTATTTCTGATAGAACCAATTTTTCATAAGCTGTGCTGATGACAAAGTCGTGTTCAACAAGGTAGGCGATGCCATCGCCCAGAGGATCCTGAAGGCTCACAGGTAACGTGTTTGGCCCTTGATTAGGAGTTGTTGCTACAGGTGCTCTTGTGTTTACTTCTAAAAGGCCTTTCGAAAGTCCACTTTTAAAGTGCTGCCATTTCCTAGCTGGGTTGAATTTGGTTCAGCTAGCAGTATGTTATTGATTCCTTTAATTCAAGTCAGTTACTAAGAATTTTTGAGTCCCTTTTTGAGGAATTTAAATTCTTTCAGTACACAGTCATTTTTTCCTGGCCGGTCTCTTGCCCATGCAGGAGATTTTTGATTTGATTTATGTAATGGCAGACAGTGAACTGTGTTCACTTAAAAAACAAAGTGAAACAGACATAATATTTTGCTGTGGGTTATATTTAAATTCTTGTTACCATCTGTCTTATTTCTTCAGCTCATGGTATTATTTCCTTAATAACAGCTTTATTGAGATTGAATTCACATAATATACAATCCACCAACTTAAACTGTATAATTCAATGATTTTTTAGTATATTCACAGAGTTGCATAACCATCACCTAATCAATTTTCATATATTTCCATCAACCTAGAAAAAAAACTCCATTAGCTGTCATTACCCCTTCCCTCCTTCCTTTAGCCCTTGGAAACCACTAATCTACTATCTTTTTCTATAGATTTACCTAGTGTGGATATTTCGTATAAATGAAATCATGTAATATGTGGTGTTTTAGCATTGACTTCTTTCACTTAGCATAATGTTCTCAAGGTTCAGCTATGCTATAGCATGTATCAGTATTTCTTTCCTTTTTATTACCAGATAATATTCCATTATGTGGATATACCACATTTTATTTATCCATTCAATGGTGGACATTTGGGTTGCTTCCACTTTTTTGGCTATTATGAATAATGTGGTTACAAACTTTCTGTACTAGTTTTTCTGCAGATGTATGTTTTCATTTCTTTAGGGATAGAATTACCAGTATTTCCATGTTTAACATTTTGAGTAACTCCCAGACTGTCTTCCAAAGTGGATATACCATTTTACATTCTCATAGTGTATACATGCTCCAATTTCTCTCTGTCACTGCCAATTCTTATTATTATTGTTCTCTTTGATCATAGTCAACATAGTAGGTCTTAAATGGTATCTCACTGTGATTTTGATTTCAATTTTCCTATTGAGCATCTTTTTGTGTACATATTATCTATAGAGAAATGTCTCTTTAAATCCATTGCTCATTTGTTCACTGGGTTGTTTGACTTTTTATTGTTGAATTGTAAGAGTTCTTTACATACTCTGGATGCCAGTCTCATATAATATATATGATTTGAAAATATTTTTTCCCATTCAGTGGGTTGTCTTTTAACTTTCTTGATGATATAATTTGAAACACAAAAGTTTTTTATTTTGATCAAATCCAATTTATTTATTTTTTAATCACTTGTGCTTTTGGTGTCATATCTAACAAACTACTGATTGCTCCAGGATTATGAAGATTTATGCTTCTAAGAATTTTATAGTTTTAGCTTTCATACTTAGGTCTTTGATAGATTTTTGTTGCTTTTTGTGTATGATGTGAGTTAGAGGCCCAACTTCATTCTTTCACATGTGGATATAGAGTCATCCTAGCACCATTTATTAAAAAGACTATTCTTTCCCCATAGAATTGCCTTAGCACCTTTTGATGGCTGTAAAAGTAGCAAAATACACAAAGAAACAAGTGCATTATTATGTTTCATCATTTTAAGTTATTGAACACACACAGTGAAGAATAAATACATACGCATTTGGGAATTAAAACATTTTTTTACTTCCAGTGTTATGTGGCATTTTGATATCTTTCTTTCACATATGTGGGGATTTTTGGACTTAAGGACATTTTATAAAAGTAACTATCAGCATTTTATATGATTCATAGTTTATATCTACATTATCTCCCTGAATCTTCACAACTACTCTTGAAAGTAGTTATTACTGTTGTTGCTGTCCACATTTTTAGAATTTAACACTGAGATTTAAGAGGTTATGTGACTTGTCTAGGCCACTAACAGAAATAGGGAAAACCAGCTTTGAGCCCAAGTCTTTGGATTTTTGACTCAGTGCCTCTTCTCACACCACGTAACTCCAATTCATTGATGGTTAGAATTAAAGATTTATTCAGCATTTCCCCAGGTTGAGGCAAGTGTGTTGGGCCTTCCTCCCCTGACCAGTCTTTAGATGCAGGCTGACCCCTGGGAGTGGGAATGGCCTTGAGTGGGCAAGTCCCTCTGGCCTATGGAGAGCAATACCTGGAGGACTTCATTGTGAGTGAGTCATCAGCAGCCAACACTCTCAGCAGCTGAGAGGATGGCTGTCTTGACCCTGTGATAAGGAGCTCAAGCAGCACACCACACTATCCACCACATTCTTCATGGTGTACAGTGGGTGTCACCTTGACTACACATCAAAATCTCTGTTAGACCTTTACAGAATTACAGATAGTTTGACTCAACTCCAGGCTTACTGGATTATAATTTTCTGGATGGCACCCAGGCACCTGTATTTTATAATGCTCCACAATTGACTCCAGAACACAGCTAAAATTGCATAGTCCTCATCTAGAACAGTGTATGTATATGGCCATAAATATTAATGGTGGTCTGTGATTTTATAAGTGACTCTTATCCTTTGCCTGCTTATATATATTTTTTTTAATTTCAAAATATTAATATTAAGGGAGTGTAAATGTTTTTGTTACATAGATACCTTGTATAATGCTTAAGTTGGGGGGCCATTTAGTGTGCCCATCACAAGAATAGTGTTTATTGTACCTGATAGGTAAGTTTTTATCCTTCACTCCCCTCTTAACCTTCCCACTTCCTGGTTTCCAATGTCCCTTGCATCTCTTTGTGCCTGTATGTGCCCATAATTTAGCTCCCACTTCCTGAGATACTTTACTTAGGATAAGTGAAGTTCCATCCAAGTTACTGCAAAAGACATCATATCATTCATTTTTATGGCTAAGTAGTGCTACATGTACCACACTTTCTTTGTCTGTTCATGGGTTGATAGGCACTAAGTTTGATTTCTCATCTTTGCAGTTTTGAATTGTGTTGCAATAAAGATTCAAGTACAGGTGTCTTTTTTATAAAATGACTTCTTTTCCATTGGGTAGATACCCAATAGTGGGACTGCTGGACCGAATGGTAATTCTACATTTATTTCTTTGAGAAATCTCCATACTGTTTTCCATAGTGGTTGTACTAATTTGCACTCCCACCAATAGTGTATAAGTGTGCCTCTCTCTCTGCATTCACACCAGCATCTATTGTTTGTTTTTTGACTTTTTAATGGCCATTCTGATAGGGGGCAAGGTGGTATGTCATTGTGGTTTTAATTTGCATTTCCTTGAAGATTAATGATATTGAGCATTTTTTCATATATTCATTGGCCATTTGTCTATCTTCTTTTGAAAAACTTCTGTTCATGTCTTTGCCTACTTTTTAATGGGGTTGTTTGTTTTTTTCTTGTTGATTCATTTGCATTTTTGTAGATTCTGGATATTAGCCCTTTATCAGATATATAGGTTGTGAATATTTTCTCCCATTGTGTGGGTGGTCTATTTACTCTGTTGATTATTTCCTTTGCTGTTCAGAAGCTTTTGAATTTAATTAAGGCCCTTTTATATATTTTTGTTATTGATATAATTGCCTTTGGGGTCTTAGTCATAAATTCTTTGCCTAAGCCAATGTCTAAAAGAGTTTTTCCTATGTATTCTTCTAGAATTTTTATGGTTTTTTGCCTTAAATTTAAGTCTTTTATCCATCTTGAATTAATTTTTGTATATGGCAAGAGATGGGGACCCTGTTTCATTCTTCTGCATGTGGCTATCCAATTTCCTCAGTACCATTTATTGAATAGGGCTTCCATTCTCCAGTGTATGTTGTTGTCTTCTTTGTCAAAGATCTGTTGGTTATTGGTAGATGGTTTTATTTCTGGGTTCTGTCCTTTGTCCCATTGGTCCATGTCTCTACTTTTATACCAAAACCATGCTGCTTTGATTACTACAGCCTTGTAATATAATTTGAAGTCCAGTAATGTGATATCTCCAGATTTGTTCTTTCTGCTTGAGATTGCTCTGGCTGCTCAGGCTCTTTTTTGGTTCCAAATGAAGCCTAGAAATATTTTTCTAGATCTGTGAAATATGACATTGGTATTTTGAGAGGGATTTCTTTGAATCTGCAAATCACTTTGAGCAGTATGGATATTTTAACAATGTTGATTTTACCAACCAATCAGTGTTTTGTAGCTCTCCTAGAGATCTTGCACCTCCTTGGTTAAGTATATTCCTAGGTATTTCATTTTCTTTGTAGCTCTTGTAAATGTTATTGAGTCCTTGATTGAATTCTCAGTTTGATTGTTTTTAGTATATAGAAATGCTACTGATTTAAGTACATTGATTTCATAATCTGAGACTTTGTTGGATTTATTTATCAATTCTAGGAGTCTTTTGGAGGAGTTTTGGGGATTTTCTAAATACAAGATAATAACATCAGCAAACGGGGCTAGTCTGACCTCCTCTTTCCCAATTTGGATACCCTTTATTTCTTTCTATTGCCTGATTGCTCTGGCTAGGACTTCCAGTACTAGTTGAATAGAGGTGGGGACAATGGGCATCTTTGTCTTCTTCCAGTTCTTAGAGGGAATGTTTTCAACTTTTTCCTATTCAGTATGATGCTGGCTGTGAGTTTGTCATATATAGCTTTTATAATTTTGAGGTATGTTTCTTCTGTGTTTAGTTTGCTAAGGGTTTTACATGAAAGGGTGGTGGATTTTATCAAATGCTTTCTTGTAGCAATTGAGATGATCATGTGGTCTTTGTTTTGCTTCTGTTTATATGGTGAATCATGTTTATTGAATTGCATATGTTGAACAATCCCTGCATCCTTGAGATGAAACCCACTTGACCATGGTGAATTCTCTCTTTGATGTGCTGTTGAATTTGGTTTGCTAGTATTTTCTTGAGAATTTTTGTATCTATGTTCATAAGGGATTTTGGTCTATAGT